TTTTCAGACGTTTTGATAGAACATGGTTGAATTTACTGAAGCGCTGCAGTCAGGCGCGGCTCGCCCGGCTCCGGCCGCGGCGCGCCGAGGCCGGTGGTGGGGGGCCGGGCCTCGCTACCGCATGGGGTCACTCAGAAGCGCCTCGTTGCTACCCCCTGGTACTTCTTTTTGCGAGTCATTTTCTTGTCACTTTGCGACGGCACGTTTTTCAGTTTTAAGTATCGTCTCCTACTCTGGCACGTTTACCTAATATTTTGTCGAGCTCGTGCCGGCTGGCCGGACGGGCGACGCGCGCCCCGCACGGCCTTGTGTTGCTGTATAGAGGGCGCCGCGTGCCGCGTCGCGCCCCGCTCCGGCGCCGCGACGCCCTCCTCGGCGGCGTCCTTTCCGGCTCGTAAATCGGCCGGCGTCGACGGGTACGACGCCGGATGTGGAGCGCGCGGAGGAGGAAATTGCGAGGGAAATTGCCAAATTGATTTATGATTTATAGTTTTATGACAAGCGCGGGGGGCAGCGCCGGCGCGCGGGCCGCCTCCGCGCGCTGCTCTGACGAGCCTCGATGCTGCTCGATAACTCGACGCGAGTCGTGGTCGTGGTCGTGGTTATCGCCGAGCCCTGTGACGTATGCTGGCCTATCGCACCTCCACTGGCGTCACGGCGAAATTAGTTTTTATTTCATTTTAACGGGTCTGACTCTCTAAACGACCGTAAGCTGAACGTTGACATTTTTGGCGCTTGTTGCGCACCTGCAAAGCACGATTTTGACATTGGCCTCGTCATTGGCCCTCTCCTTACTGCTCACAGACCCCCCCCCCTCCCACCTTTTCGCTCACATCTCTATATCACACCTCTTCTTCACACTCGTCGCTTCTCGTGGATCAAATAGTAGGGGAGAGTCAATAAACCGCACGCTCAGTGCATTCAACTTTTTGTGGCAAATTTTTCGTGTCGATTTGGTGAGGTTTCCGTGGAAAGCCACAAAACGGGGGAGCAAAGAGGAGGCGCGGGAGGAGGGGTGTGGAGGAGGTAGGGGGGGGGGAGATTGGCTGAATCACAATCACACAGAGCGCCCGTATAATGAGTGGGGACCGGACGGACGGGCGAGCGAGACGTATGAGGGTGACGACTCTGTTAGAAATAAATTGACAATTACGAGATGTGTCATCGCCGTCATCGCCCTCGTGGGCTGTTGTTTTGTTTACAGCTTTTCCTTCATCATTATGCGAAGTCAGAAAAAGTAAATATGTGTAACATTTTGAACCCCTTCAGCACCGTACTAACGTTTCTGGACCTCCCCATCAAAGTAGTGTCCAGGGGGGAGGCAACGTGTTCAAAAGTTTTAATTTTTAGAATTGATTCTTCAACCTTTAACGATGTCAAGCCTGCCATCGGACAGGTCGAAATCAAATTACCGCTAGCAAAAGAAATGAAATCACAATTCTTTTCCCCAAAATGTGGTTTTATTTTGCTGCGCGCCTCGTAACTCGGTGATGTTGGCAGTGTAGGACAGTGGCGTCGCGGCCGTTCCGCCCCGTCTCGCGGCGTCTCCTGCTCCGCCCGCGCCCCGCGCCGCGCTCCGTCCCGCCCCCCCGCGAAGCGCCGCCTCCAGCGACCGGCGTGGCGCGGCGTGGCGCGGCGCGGCCCACGGGTCGCCCAATGGCAGCGGCCGGGCCGCTTGGAGGGGGTCCCGGGGGCGGGCCCAGAGCGGCCGGAGCGGGGGGAGGCAGGCCGGCGAGGCCGACCGTCCCGGGCTCCATTCCAGAGCCGAGCGCTGGAGCGACTGGATACTCCCCGCGCGCTGGAGAAGCCCGTGTAGTGCGCGATCGCGTCCGTGCGCCGTCGCCGCGCGAGTGCATGCGTGTGTGTGTGTGCGTCCCGGTGTAGTGATGCCCCCCAGCGGGCCGCGGCCCTCGCCCGCCGCCGCTCGCGCCGCTCCTCGCGCGCCGCTCCCAGAATAGCGCAGCATGCTGGCGGGATGCGGGCCGTGCGGGCCCACCAGCCTGGGGTCCCTGCCGGGCCTGGGCCCGTGCCCCCCGGGCCCCCCGGGCCCCCCGGGCCTGCCCGTCAGCCTACAGGGCCTCCCCGGCGCGCTGCCTGGCGGGCTGCTGCTGCCCCAGTTGTCGGCCGGCGAGCCGGGCATCGGCACGTCGCCGTCGTCGCACAGCATGCTGACCCCCGCGCACCACCACCACCACCACCACCACCACTTCGGCGTGCAGCCCAGCGGGCCGAGCCCCGTGTCGCCGGGGCTGGGATCGGGCCTGGGGCTGGGCCTGGGGCTGGGATCGAGCCAGAGCTGTGGCCCCAGCGCGCCCGGCCAGTCGTCCAGCATGTCGCCGCTGCTGCCGTCCTTCGGCTTCACGCAGGAGCAAGTGGCGTGCGTGTGCGAAGTGCTGCAGCAGTCCGGAAACATTGAGCGCCTGGGCAGGTTCCTGTGGTCGCTGCCCGCCTGCGACAAGCTACACAAGAACGAGAGTGTCCTCAAAGCCAAGGCCATCGTCGCTTTCCACCGTGGCAACTTCAAGGTGTGTGTGTGTGTCATATGTGTGGTGTGTGTCGTCCGCCCCTTTTAATATTTGCTGCGACCCCTCTGCCTGTGTGTGTGTGTGCGGCTGTGTTGTGGTGCACTATACGAGCTGCAAGTGTTTGGCCGCCAAATGTCAATACGATATGTTGTGTCGGTGTGTGTATGTGCGGACTGGCTTGCCTGGACTGTTTTTATATTTTCTACCGCCATGTCAAGGAACCGACGTCACAGACATGCCCGGTCTGTCTGTATACCTTTCTATTCATGATTTGTTATTTTTGCGAATTCTTTCCACCGAAATTTCAACGGTTTTACCCGTGTTTTACACATTATATACTGGATACGTATTCAGTGCAGTTTATGTGTGACGCCAGCAGCACCACATGTGCCTGTTTGGGGTGTGATTGCAATCATGCCCTCACGGGGAATACGTTTTTTGCACTCCTGTCATGCTCATTTTGCACACGCATACAGATGCCTCGATTCAAAAATAGGAATGCTCTTAAATGCACCTAAATTGAGAGCATGTCAGTTAAGACGGAAACAGTGCATTTAATTCAGGAACTGTTCGAATTTTTATTGCCTGTAGATGATACTCATTTGATGTCACCATGCATGTGCATGCTGTGTAGACGTGGTTCACACCACGTGACCACTCAAACCTGACTTGAGTTTCCTTGCTTCTTAGAATACAGCGTAGGCTAATGACATGAGATTCCGAACCGGACGTATCTAAACCAGCGCGTCTCGTACGTGCAGAAAAAACGGCCCCAAAAAAACAACACGCAGGATGTGGCGGTTATCTTTGCACTGTCGCCGTTATGGCACTCATCAGATCAGGTGCTATCAGCTCGGGGACTTCCCTCGCAGCTACACTGATAAACCAACTGCTTAACACTTAAGAAAGTGTGCGACTGCAAGTTGTTCAAATCCGTATTAGTATACTACTAAGTGTTCAACTCGGTAGTTGCAATTTCTCTGTTGAACATTAACACTTCCTACAGCGAGCGTCCAATCTAAGGTGCTCAACAGAACAAGGGAGTTGCGCACCTATAAGTGCACAAATACAGAGGCGCCCTCTGAAGTATTCAACTTGCAGTCGCACACTGAAAGGTTTTAAGCAGTTGTACGCTTGTCTTTTTTTTGTCAGTGTACTGTTATCACCGCTGGCGTGACGTCGTGACTATTAGCCGCGGCACCCGTCCCCCCCGCCGTCACCCGCCGAATAGTTAGCAAACTGAACAGTACGTAATACTTGAACCCACTCGAGCGCCCTCCTAAGCGCGGCAGCCCGGTGGCGCACTACTGCTTACCTTCCTCCGCTTCCGACGGGCGCGCGCGGCGTGCGAGTATACGCGGGGCGTCCGAGACAAGCGGAGAGATTAGAGAGCGGGCTGTCGGCGGAAACACATGAATGGCGATAAGGGCAGAGAGTGTGGCGGGGCAGGCCGGGCGGGGCGGCAGCGTTACAAGCGTTACAATGTTGGAGTCAAAGGTAACGCAAACACGCACGGTGCCGCCGCGATAACGCACAGTGGTTCGGGCTAACGTGACGCCGGGGTGACGCCCTGTGCATGGCGGGGGCGGGCGGTGCGACCAATCATAAGAACTGGCCGCGGGGAAGTGCCGATCGATCGAATGTTAATTAGCTTGAGCAATAGACCTCATGGGCCACGGCTACTCTCAGAAAGGTTGATTATTTATGGTTGAAGAGTAAAGTGCACTTGAACGAATGAATGAGTATTTTGCAGTTGATTTGAGAACAATTTCACTTTGCAGTGAGACAGACGGGACTGATTCAAGTACCAAATGAACCTGGATCCAAGTGGGCGTTCGAGGCTCGAATAAGTGCACTTTCTTATCATTCGCGCTCTCCTCAATAACTTCTGGGCGTCTCCCACAAGTCTGGTCAATCTTGCGTTGTCTAGTGTCTAGTACCGTCTCCATCCGGGACACCTGCCTTATCCTCTTATAATTTTCGCCACCGAATATAAAATGCATAACACGTTCCCTGCGACATGTCCACTATGTGGTCACGCTCCCATGTTGAATCATAGGGACCAAAATTGAGCCGCAGGGAACGTTATAAGGAAGCCACTGTCGTTTTGTCATTTTGTCACACAAAATTAATCTGCGATACATATTATTCTAGAGATGTATTCAGGGATCGCCACACCAAATGTGTACGTTCAGAGGGTGGCCGCTGTGCCTTGCAACGGGATGAACTTGGTGGGTATGGCCCGGCGGGGGATTTGACTTCATACGGGGGGCAAAATATCAACAAAAGTTCGGACTGATACCTTTTTAGCCCC